AGCAGCTCTGTTGTCCTCCATCCATATTTTCAGTTACAGGCTGAGTCATTTTTGCGTTCCCCTCTGTCATGTGGAGGACCTCAGTGATGAGAGGAGAATGTACAGTATAGCGCTGAGCTAATACATACATATTGTGATAGCTTTGGGGCTAAAGCAGTCAGGCTAAGCTGAGGTTCTTCTTCCATGAAGCAGCTCTGTTGTCCTCCATCCATATTTTCAGTTACAGGCCGAGTCATTTTTGCGTTCCCCTCTCTGTCATGTGGATGGAGGACCTCAGTGATGAGAGGAGAATGTACAGTATAGCGCTGAGCTAATACATACATATTGTGATAGCTTTGGGGCTAAAGCAGTCAGGCTAAGCTGAGGTTCTTCTTCCATGAAGCAGCTCTGTTGTCCTCCATCCATATTTTCAGTTACAGGCCGAGTCATTTCTACCTTCTCCTCTCTGTCAACGCTCTCTGGTTTCATTTAAAAGAGATAATTGTCAGATATTGTCCAAGATTAACCTTCAGGGTGGATATAGCTCACTAGCAGCCTCGCACCGAGGACCTATCCACATCATCATTTACTCAGAATGCTTTGCGTGTAAATAAAATTGCCCGTCCGTGTAATATATTTTTAAACTTTAAACTTTTAGTTTATTTTACAGTCTTTGTTTTACATTTAAAATATATGTTAATCAAATAAAGTCTAATGTTACAATTAATCATAGATCCCTTTAAAAGAAGGATTTAAACGGATGATTTGTCTCCTTTAAGAAGGCACAAGTTTGAATTGTTTCCTGGTGATATCCAGAGCCTAACACTCAGCCTTAAAAAAAGTTTATTTGTTTGGTTTTAGTTGGTTGATGCACATTGATTTAGAAACATCTGGTTATTCTCACTTTAGGTTTTTGAATAAATCACTGTTTCTGCACCTGATTCCCCTAACCAGTTAGGATGAGGAAATAAAGCCACATGCATGTCAACTCGGTTTTTCACAGAATAAATAGAAGTCCAACCTATTTTTTAGTCATAATAAGTCCATCATCAACTTACAGAAGGGAAAAGAGCCATGCAAAATGATAAATTATTTGCATCACAGCAGGCAAACCACAAWACCACAGTAGAACAGCTAAAACATGCCAAAGAAATGTTATAAACAGAACATCACTGCAGTTACTCCAAAGACAACATTGTACTGTCTGAATGGAGGAAGTGGGGAGTCACTAACAATTCTAATCAGCTTTATTCAAGCAGCCTTCAGTTAATAAGACCTTTGAAAAAATCTGTTTTTCTTAAGATCAAAGATTTACTGATTGAATTTCACTCCACAGGCGAAGAGTCACTGACCATTTTCCTGGACAAGCAGAAGCTAAACAAGAAGTCAGAGGGCAACAGCAACACCTCGGTGGTCTCTCTGGAGCTGCTCCATCAGCTGGCAGCTTCCTATTTCACAGACCGAGAAAGCACCCTCAGGCGACTCCACCACCTCCAGATCGCCACCTCTGCCATTAAGGTACCGTGTGTTCATGTTTCCCTCATTGCTTTTTTCTGAGAAAATGACTTGTACACAAACACATGCAGGGGATTGTAAATGCAAATGTCTTTTTTTTTTCATTTCCTAAACGCATCCCTTAGATTCACAACCCCCCAAATTCACAACCAGCCAGTCATAGGGTAGAYGCTCCAACATTAACACTTCAATAAAACTGTTCCTATAGGTTTTATCGATGCTGCGCATATAAAACAAAAAGTGCCAACAAACAATCGCTTTTAAAGATTATTGTCAAGGTGYATGGTTCCAAAGTTCAAGAGATTAAAGAGTGTGCAAGGAAACACRACTTTTTTTGTTTTGTTTTTAAGAGGCAGGCTTGATTAATGGCAGAGTCGATGCACTGTAGCCCTCAAAGGCACTAAGCCATGGCAAATATATGCTTTCTCTTAAATCTCAAAGGGAAGAGTATACCAATCGAGGTACATATTGTTCCCGACTGTCCTCCRTGTGGAACGGGAAGCTACAGTGTGTTTTTCTGTGGGTGAATATACAATTGTGGGGATGGCAATTATTTCCAGTGTTATTTTTTTTCCTTTTCAGTTGAAATAGGCTCACATTATCACATTGTAAGTGATATAACAGGCTTTTAAGCACACAAGCTACTTTTTTTTATTTTTACCTGCAAATTCAGCATTTGACTTATTTGAATATTCAAAATTGTTGCTTAGCCAAAATYTTAGTTTCCCACATCGATAAGAAGAAAAGCACATTCAAGCGATGCATTTTTCACAGATTCATGTAGTGACAGCAGGTGTGTGGGTGTGAGGATGGTCCGAGCCTTTATAATTCAACCTAAATCATAAATTTGACTGGAATGAGTAACTGGCTAAGTGCAAACAATTTTGCATGCACGTCATACATGCTTGATCAAAGTGCCTACTTGCCAGAAAATGCGGAGCTGAGGTTGGCTTTCAGGTCATTTTTGTTTCCAAGAGCACTTTAAAAAAAWTTGAACTCAAAATACAGGATTGCTCTCGCCCACAAAGACTTGAATAATTGTACATGACAAATGACAAGCCCAGAGGCAACCCAGATTTGAAGCCAATAGCTGTTACCTTGAGGGAAAAGTGAGTTTTATTAAAAAAAAAGTGCATCCTTTTTTACAACACATCAGCAAAAATGAATCTAAGTGAACACAGAAAACTCAGTGATCTTTCTAGTTCCAACACAAAAAAATCACAGCAAACTACCATAAAACATTTTGTTAAATAATTTGTTGTCTTTTCTGCCAGAATTAAAGGCAACACCTTTCCACAGTTAGAATAAAAACATTAGTCTCTTAGTCTGAATGAATTAAAATAATAAAATATACTSAATTTGTTATTTGTGAGGAAAGTGAGTAACTAATATATGGGATTTATTTTTTTTTTACAAAGCTGTCAACTAAAGCATATAWGTGAGTGGCTGCTAAGATCTGTTTCCTTTTTATTCTAACCATGGACACATTTCTGAAAGACACATGGAAATTTAGATGCATGCTACCTTCCAAGTGTATCACACAGCATGTTTTTAGTAAAAATACTGCACACATTATGAATAATTTTGGCAATKCTATGGATTTGACTGGAAAATTTGGAGCAGTTTGCCACACTAACATTTAAATTATTAAATAGTGCTGCTGAGTGCAAAGTAATAACAGTAATAACTGTTTAACTGTTAGAAAAAAGTCTAAATAACCACTGGACATATTTTAATAAAACTCCGGTACAGTCATTATTGGCTGATTCAACTAATTCTCTTTTGGAGCCAACCTAATTGGCAATGGTTGCCATAGCACACACAAACAATGCTATGCTTCAGAGATGTTGTGCTGAGATTTGGTGTGGTCGTAGGGTCATTCACAACAAATAGTCTAAGAACTTACACGTTAGACAAGATTTCTCAATATAACATGATCTTAGTCTAAATATTCAATGTTTWCTGGCAAGTGGGTGACATGCATCCCTSCAAGAAATGCTAGACTTGTAGATACACTGATTGACTTTAGGTAAATGTTTTTTTTGTTGCTGTAATAGATTCATTATAAGCAAAARAAAAGGTAAAAGCAGGCATCAATAATATGCTGACCCAAGCATTTATAATGATATCAGAAATAAAATCAAAATTCAAGGATGCAAATGTAATTACTGGTCTCATCTGTAACTATTAATGTTTTTGTTTCAGACAGTTTGTTTAATCAAGGAGTAAAAATATTTACATTAATTAGAAATTGATTTATTTTGAAAGTCATTTACACATTTTTAATTTTTAGTTCATTTTCAGAGTGTAAAATACTAGTTTAAAAATCCACTAAGTTGTTATTATTATTTTGCTCACTAATTATACATTATGCTAATGTTTACTGTGCCTGATTTCATGTGTCTAGTCAATAATTTGAAACCTTGTTTGTTGTATTCATATATGTATTAAATCTATATTTGGCCGTATCTGTCTTCAGTCTCAACAGAATAAACATTTTAGCACATAAAATACTGCATTTATGAATTTGATTTTCCTGTTTTTAAAACTAAGATCTCAAGAATTCAGCAAGATATTTAGCATTTCCACTTTTGATAAAGGGAAATATTTGATTCAGGACAAAATAAAGCATAATTTCAAAAAACCTCAATAATTAATCAGCAATTATTGTCTGTGGAGTACATAAAATGTTTCAACCAAAAATCTCACCCATTGATTTGTGGACCTGGGTAAGCAACAGATCATAAAAGAACCATAATGTTCTGTGAATATGAAGTAAATTTATAACAACTGATTCCAATAAATGTATTGATACAAYGTTTGCTGGTGTTATTTTAAATCAACATATATTTTGAAATATGTCCTGTTTCTTATAGAACTCAGGTTGACTATGATCAAAAATGAACTTGTATGTTACAGTACAATGAAACATACTGTAAAACCTGTAAAACAGGTTTCTTTAGTACCATTACATGATGACAACACACAAACAGAAGACAAGAACTTTTCCAGCAAACGAGTTACGTTTTTGGATAAATGTGTGGATTCTAGTTATGCAGGCCACTTGCCTCATTGTGTTCAGCTTCATGAACTCGTCGTCTAACAGAATGGGACACCGAGTGGGTGTACTTGACCTGCGTCCATCAGTGCTTCTGGGCTTTGTGTCAATGTAGCACCAAGTGGGTGGTGAGAGAAATGTACAACCTTTACATTCACCAATGAAGTGGAGGATCTTTAGTCATGCATCCTGTTTCCCAATAGCAGGAAGAGGAAARATCTTTAGTGTCTATGTGAAATCTACTGATGGGTGCAGAGTGAGGGACACACTCTTTGTGATGGGTAAGAAAGCTGAGAGGCAAAACCTGCAGATAATCGTCAGTCATATACATGTTTGTGATTTGTACAAAAAATGCAGAGCAAATTTCTGAAAGAGCAGTTTCAGKTTTTTTTTCTCAATCTCACACAATCCCTTGTACCTTAAATACTTTAGCTTCAAATTCTAATAACAGTTTTCCTTCACTTTAYGTGTTTCCTCACTTCAAAAAGGTTTTAAAGTCAAAGGCCAGTAATCTTTTTGCCTATGTGTGTGTACATATTTTTGTTTTCTGGTGGGAACAATTTCTGACCATTTTCCCGGTACACACAGCCTTGGGTGTACTTATGGGGACAAAAGCCTGGTCCCCATCAGGGGAAATATAGTTGGTGGGTYAGGGGTTAGGTTTAGAACTAATTTAGGTATGTGCTGAGGTGGTCTGGGCTCTCCCTTAGGGTGAGAAGCTCAGTCATCTGGGAGGGACTCAGAGTAGAGCCGCTGCTCCTCCATGTCGAGAGGAGCTAGTTGAGGTGGCTCGGGCATCTGGTTAGGATGCCTCCTGGACGCCTCCCTGGTGAGGTGTTCCGGACACGTCCCACTGGGTGGAGGCCTAGATGAAGACCCAGGACAAGCTGGAGGGACTATGTTTCTCAGCTGGCCTGGGAACACCTTGGGATTCCCCCAGATGAGCTGGACCAAGTGGCTGGGGCGAGGGAAGTCTGGGTCTCTCTGCTTAGGCTGCTGCCCCCGCGACCCAACACCGGATAAGCAGAAGAAGACAGACGGATGGATGGACGGACTGAGGTGGTTAGGTTTAGAGTAACAGGTCAAGGTTAGGCTATGAGATGAATGGAAGTAAATGCAAAAACTCTAAGAGAATAAGAGTAGAAGTTCAACCGTGTTTGTTTCCCTAAAAATCTTACAAACCATTGTGATGGATTTTAATAAAACTCTCAGAAAGTAAATTTAGTGTATCAAGCTAAACTTTTGTGTTTTAGTAGATGGAACTCATCCCAGATTTACACTTAGAGAGGTAACTGATGGTAGACTTGGATCCCTTCAAAGAGCCATCAAACCATCTCTAGTTTACATTTACTCAACTCGGTTTAGTGAAACCAGTTAATATAACATGGTTAATTAATTCAACACTTTTTTTCAGAATGCATAAACAACTCTTGTCATAATGAGTTTG